GCTCCCATTAGGTCAACATATGCAGCCTTACCAAAAAAGGAAAAGAAAAAAACTGCAGCCTTTTTTACATGTTTAATTGATCTTTTTTCTAGTTGTCCTGAAATCTAATCACATGATGCTTATGTAGGACCCACCAGAGGATGCTGTTGTGGCAATGTGTGGGCATGTTTTCTGCTATCAGTGTATATCTGAGCGTTTAACTGGTGATGAGAACTTGTGTCCTGCACCTGGTTGTCGAGATGTACTTGGTACTGATTCCATTTTCTCCCGAAGTACATTAAAAAGTTGTATTTCTGACAATTTTGATGATGAAGCTTCGACTAGTTGTTCGTTTGATGATGGATCGATTGTCCATAGTTGTCACATCTCTTCCAAAATTAGATCAGCTCTAGTTCTGAAGCACATAATCTTATGATATGTGGTTCCAAGTCTGATGCCAATGCTCTGAATCATACTTCCACTCTGTTAAACTCAAATTCTGACATGCCAGCCAAGGCGATTGTTTTCTCCCAGTGGACCAGCATGCTAGACTTACTTGAGCTTTCATTGAATGAATGTCTTATACGGTATAGAAGGCTAGATGGGACAATGCCTCTCATGTTATGAGACAAGGCTGTGAAAGACTTCAACACTGACCCGGAGGTTCAATAATAAAATAATTTGTAAAACTTTTCTGTACCTGTGGTTGCTTTTAGTTTGTGCTTTAATTTTTTTCAAGTTATTAATTGTCTTCTCTTTTTTCTTTTTGAGAATAAACATTGGTATTGTTCTTCAGGTAACTGTTATGCTCATGTCACTTAAAGCAGGAATCTTGGCCTGAATATGGTGGCTGCTTGTCATGTGATTCTTCTTGATCTTTGGTGGAATCCAACTACTGAAGATCAAGCAGTTGACCGAGCACATAGAATTGGGCAGAGTCGTTCTGTGACTGTTTTCTGAATAACTATTAAAGATACAGTCGAATATTAGCTCTTCAGGTAACTTTTTCTGTGACATTGCTCTTTTTGTAACATCTTATGGTTGGATCACTATGGTATTCTTGTGGCATCCTTAATCATAGTTTTTGAACTCTGGAAAACAGTTACAGACTTCATTAGTGTTGTCATTATCTGGTTGTTGTTACCTGCTTTAGTCATAGACTTAATTATGGCCAGACCTATTCAGTCTAAAATTTCATATAGTTGAAAATGGTTAAAATAGTACTATTGGCTAATATCATAAATTATGATATTCTGAAATTTTTTCCATATATGTAAATAGCCCTTCCCTGTAGGGTTCTTGCCTTTCCAATTGGCAATTCATGTTCCTTTACAAAGTTCAAAGGTCCAGTTGCCTCTGACTAGGTGTAATCATGATGAAGCAATCGCTGACCTTGCATTTAGAAGTGATATATGATGACAATCAAATGAAGAAAACATAGTTTTTAGGTTTTGTCCACTCTTTATTTGTGGAGAATATCGATATCCTTTCACCATTCCATTTCACTAAGGCAAGCATAGGCTAACTTGGAGACATGCCAACTGACATCAAACATGGTATCCTTTGATAGTAGTTTGTATCTAAAGAAGATAATCAAGCAATGGTTAATAATCATGTGGTAATGTACCATACCCCATATTTGGCTAGGAAGTATTTTTCAGTATTTTCTCATCTTAATCATGCTTTGTTCTTTCAACATCATCACTATAGCCATATTATTGCTAGTCATATTAGCCATTCATGCATCACTTGTAATGTTAATTGCACCATCTGCATTGGAAATGTTTTATCAAAGGAGAAGAGGAAGATGGTTTCAACTGCTTTTGGAGAAGATCAAACTAGTTCTCATGCAACTCTTCTTACAGTGGAAGATCTTAGCTGCTTTGATGACTTGAGTTTTGGCATGAACCACAATAGTAGATTCATATCATTTTGGATATGGATGAAACAGGACTACTGTTGGCTATTTTTTTGAGATGTGCTTCAGCCCATCAGGATCCTTTTCTTTCCTTTTTTCGTTTCCTTTATTATTATTATTATTATTATTATTATTATTATCATTTTGAATCATAGGGTTTTGCTAAATTGTATAGTTGTAACAGTAGAATTGGAGCTTAAGGGACTGTATGTGTTTATGTATGTATGTATTGCTACCTACCTTCATGAATGGGACATTGAGCATATTGTTACTTTAGTGTGTTGCATCTTTTTACAGTGTTACTAATCTTGTTGGGTCTGATATGGTAAATTGGAATCTGGGTTGACTAACAAATAAATCTGAGAGAGAAGAAATTGTCAGTTATCAACGTGAGATCATAATCCATATCGAAGCATAAATCTACTCTCATTTACGATCGTTCGTATATATTGTCATCGACTCATCACCTTATCCGCGAGCACGAGTGTTCTAAAAGCTTCTCAGTGGTAACGTCTTCTGCCAAGCGAGCGTAATCGAATCGCGGCAACTTTTGCATGGACACGAGAAGGCTGTGAATCAAATAAACTTTTCCTTGTCGGCGGGTGTTCTACGTCAAATACTTGCATCCAAAAATGAGATGGAAAAAGTAACGAGGGATCACTGTTGAGAGTCAGCACTCAACTCAGAATCAAACATCGATTACTTGTAAATACGTTGTGATGGATCAACCACCTGTTCTTACTTGATCGAAGCTTTCATGTCTCTGTCCATCGCGATTCACCGTAAGCGTCCGATGAGATGCTGATTCCATGCCGTATGCCACTGCTTGCACAGATCAGCATCCATGGAGTCAGATGTGATGAGTTTCTTGGTGAGTGAATCCACCATGGAAGGGTCGGGAGTCGATGCTGAGTAATCCAACATCGAGATGAAACATGGAGCCTCTAAGAGCAGGAAAGACGGAAGAGCACTGATGGTGGGTCTCAAGTAAATTTCATATAGGGATTGATGTTGGACGAGGATTATTCAAGCACAAGAGCGACCTTATAAAATGGACAGGGAAGAAATCAGAGAAACTGAAGCCCAAACAGGCAGGAATAGTAAGAGAAGCATCATACCAAAATGGAAAGCCTGCGAACCAGAGCGAATATGGAAAGAGGAAAAGTGTAATGAATCAGTTGCTTTAAGCCCCCCTTCAAGGAGAGCATGGGATTCTGCCATACAAGGAGAGCATGGGATTCTACTACAGACACCTCTCAACCATAAGGCCACATTTCCAGCATCCTTGATGAGAAAACATAAATAAACCTGAACCTGCAGGGGCACAAGGGGAAATAAATGGGATCAAATTCAAGACTAGTAGTAGTGTTGCTTATCTAGCCAACTTTTGTAGCTTCAACCGAGCCCTCAGATGTTGGGTTGCATTTGGAACATCTCTCCTGATATTTGGCATATTGTGATTGTTTCATAAGAAACTAAAAGGAGATGGTAATAGTGCTAATAGTAAAGTACTAGAGGAGTTATCGAGGAATCTGCCTTCCTTAGTCCAATCGCCTGAAGTTGAAATCGAAATTTAAGCATATGTTGAAGTGAACTTAAAAAAGATTAGACAAAATAATAATAATAATAATAATAATAATAATAATAATAATAATAATAATAATAATAATAATAATAATAATAATAATAATAATAATAATAATAATAATAATAATAATAATAATAATAATAATAATAATCGAAAGTGAGTCTTAAAAAAGGATGACAAACATTTTATTAACAATGGATAATGTTTGAAACATACACAAAAAAAAAAAAATGATCTTAGGAGCTACTTAAGATGCCAAATCACCTTCCAACTTAAATCAGGGTGAACAGATCCCTCAAACTAACTTCTCGTTAAGGAGACTCAGTTATGTTGCCTTACAAAGTAATTCCAAGTATTTTATATCACTGTATGCTATATATACTAATAGATTAGAAGTATTATTATTCTTTATATATACTAATATAACAATATTAAACAACAGCGGGGATAGCTCAGTTGGGAGAGCGTCAGACTGAAGATCTGAAGGTCGCGTGTTCGATCCACGCTCACCGCAAGATTTTAGGAAGAAATGTCGTTTATTTTTAATTTTATTTTTATTTTTATCGATCGGAAATATAATTATTATTAAAAATAATAATTTTTATTTTTATTAAACAACAGTGAAGATAGCTCAGTTGGGACAGTGTTAAAATAAAGATGTGAAGATTAGTTGTTCGACCTACGCTTATTGTAATATTATTTTATTTTAACTTTTTTTTAAATCACAAAATATCTCAACTATTTTTTAAAACGAAATTTACTTCCGTTTCCATTTGCATGTGTGCACGTAAACGTCGAGTAGCTGCTGCTGTGGCACCTTAAAAAGCTGTGCTTCAGCTAACATAACAAGCTGTATTGAATCCTCCTGAGACACGCCTCGGCGGCACGTCTCGTGGGCATCTCAACGCTGCTCTCTCTCTCTCTCTCTCTCTCTCCTTACCGCCATCAACGCCCCTTCGTCCTGATGACGACCAAGTAATACGAGGACCGAAGTCATCCTCATCGGGTTGGGAGATGAGGGACTCGACCTGGAGCTTGAGATACTTGAATCGGGTGGGATGTATGTGTTCCAGTTTTCCGGCTCCTCCCTCGCCGTCTCCACCAACCATGATTCCGACACCTTCTCCACCGACCATGATTCCGACACCTCCACCAACCATGATCAAAAGACGGTATGGATTACCCTTTTTTTGTTTGTCTCACTTTAATGGGAGATATTGTAGAATAGAGAAGCTTAGAACCTTGGGAAGCTTCTTTTCTTATGGTAATGGTGATGTTTAAAGATTTTGGACGAGAAATAAGTTCACATTACACGACCAAAAGTCCTGTACAGGCTACAAATCACAAGGGATTCATAGATACTCGTCTGTATACCTGAAGACATCTTCCTATCAAGTGCTATCCAATCATAATCACAGCAGAGAAGGATAAGCTAATAAGAGTTAATAAGCAAAGAGCACACGAGATGATAACTGGGGTGAGCAGAAGAGGGCATCAGCAGGAAGAAGAGACAGCTTCAAGAATATGAAGTCAGATCCACAAGGGAACTAATTTCCGTGGATCCGTCATTCATTTACCGATTGAATCAACAAGAGACATCCAAGTTCTTTTAGAAGCAGGATCAAGCCAAGTTGTTGGTGCTAGACACCGGTATCGATCACACAAGCATTACCCCATGCCATCTTTAGGTACATGTAACGGTTCAAGCTGCAATTGAGATGAGTCAATGACACAAGCTCATTTCACTAGTAGCGATACTTGGTAGAGTAGTCCTTTGGAGCAATCACCAGACCACGACCTTTCCTTGCCCCCCTATAGATGGTTTCCACGATATCGATAAACTCCTGCTTATCCTTGAGGGCCCAATTGATCTTATTATTGTTTCCCGTCCCAAGATCAATCATGATATGCTTGTTCCTGAAGAAAAACATCACGGTTGATGGATCATACAGCTCATACATGGTATTGAAGTCTGGCACCTCAGTGATGTCAACCAGGTATAGCACAGCAAAATTCTTGATGGTCTCCGCAACAGATGCCAACACCTCATCCATCTGCAGCCGACATATCAGCCAAAATAAATTCCACAGAAACATGGCAAAAAAGCAGCAGTTTCATACCTGTATCTACCACAAAGTTTGAAAAATAGTGTATCCCATAACAACATAGGTGTTGTATATACCTCCAAAAGCATTATGACATATCAGCCAAAATAAATTCCACAGAAACATGGCAAAAAAGCAGCAGTTTCATACCTGTATCTACCACAAAGTTTGAAAATTAGTGTATCCCATAACAACATAGGTGTTGTATATACCTCCAAAAGCATTATGAATTATGCACAAAATTCATTTAATTAATATAACGTCTCATAATATTTTGATATATGTAGGAAATTATCAATATCGCAAGGGCAAACATGAATCTTGATACTTTGTGTAAGCCTTTTAGGTCCAAGTCAAATTAAAAATCTGACACAAACCTCTTACTAAACTCAGTGAGCTTTGAGAAAAAAACAAGGAAAAAGGAATGGTTTTAAGAATTAACAAAAACACATTGACGTTTTGGATCTTTAAACGAGCATGCAAAGTTCTATAAGTGTCATGCCCTGGAACTAGGGACCAGACTGATCCGACCGAATGTCCATGGATTAGGCTAACATGAGGGTGATAAGGTCAGACTCAAGGTAGCCCCCCCAATGGCAAGGATGAGCAGCCACCGTGTCTAAACTTGGGATTTCCTTATCTCAATGAGGATGAGCCACCGCCACCGACGATGATAGCTCCACATGTTCAAGGTGAAAAAAGTGGGGTCCGTTGCAAGAATCCTCTCAAGTAGAGAAACCCTTTTCCAATATTGCGCCTAATAAATCTTACATTATCTATGACTTAGGGTAATATTGACTTTTTCAATTTCATCATTTATTAAACCTTTTGTCATACTAAATATTAAAAATTATTGATCTAACTCTAAAATTTCTAACCAAGTATCAGATTTAAATGAAAGACATTAAAACATGAATGATTCTAGCCTTTCACATGAAGGTTTTGGCGGTCAAAATCCAAAGATTAAGAGCTTTAGTGGAAAAAGATTATAAAAAGTTACAAAAAGATTATAAATCATAACAATTCAAACAGCTAGAAAAAAAAGTACAAAAAATTTTAAACAGATCGGAAAAAAAATGAAAAAAGCTAAAGGAAAAAGTTATATGACACTTGCAAGATGTGTCATTTTCGAAAAGTATCATGCAGCGCTCATTGATTTTAGATAAGAAATGTACAAAACATAAAAATGAGCAAGCATATTAAAAGTTGAATAAATTTAACATATGTTGTTATCAATATCATAACTCATGGATATATCTAATGAAAACCCATGTACGACATTTAGTTTCTATTTCCCTATGTATAATAGAATTACATGCAAACAGAGGCTATTTAACATTGTACATGCATGGAAACTCTAAAATCTGGTAAAAATACAAAGCATTTTGTTTCTTTCCTTAAAATTGGGATCTCATCACTTAAAAATAAAACTAACTAGATTAATCCAACTCAATTTGCTTATGAAGTTAAAACCATTATATTTTGATCAATTTTGTGAAACCTTTAATTCTCACCTACATGTGGATTTTGTTCCTAGATTATAAGTTGGTCATGTACTTGGTAAGCTTGGGGATTCCACTTTCTTGATTTCTGTTAGTTATATCGACTTATATACATTAAAGTAACCAACAGAAAGTCAAGTTAATCCAGTTAATCCTTAATTTTGGTTGGCAACTCATCTAATCACATGAAGCCATTCAGCTTAATAAAACAGGTGACCGAGGATTGATCCAATAGGCAGATTCTTTCAACATGAGTTATCCATTAAATCACTTTGATTAAGTAAAAGAAAACAACCTAACCATATGGTCTTTAGAGATTCAATCCCTGATTGATTTCGTATACCATATTAATCTTAAACTCCGTCCAGCCCCGAGTTTCAAGTAGTACGGCAGGACTGATAGATCCCTGCAACCTTTACAAATACTATGACCAAATTGTGGCTGACCTACTTGTGGGTTGCTTCATATATAGGTCAGCTGGAGGTTAACTTCCCAGGAGTTTATATAATGAGAAAATTAAATTGCAACACTTTTAGATTGCATAAAAACTAACTATTTTCAAAATCTAGCTTAGAGGGTGGTGTTGGTTCTATTTTAACACTGATGGATGGATCTGGGCACCAAGGGCAAGAGGCTGGTGTTGGTTGTATTTTAAGAACTTATATGGGGGACTGCTGTTTTTGCAGGTTGCAAAGGTACCTAGGACAGATCCAACCTACACATTGAAGCTATGGCTATACAAGATGGATTATTTGAGGCTTGGAATACGAGCACATAAAAGATTCACACTGAGAGTGATGTTGCTGCTTTGATACATCTAATGAAGAAACCCCACCTTGGGCCATCGCTAGCATTATTTCAGATGTATTTTATTTGTTGGAGTTGTTTGTGGACCAGAGGGTATTGCACATTTATCAGAAACAAAATTCGGCTATGAACTGGTTAGCTAATTTCAGGTGAATCAATTGTTGTAGGAATTTGTGGTGTAATATCTTTACTCATAAATTGGAGGCTTCGGTCTCCTCTGATAGAAGAGGATATGACTATATGAGGTTTCTTGAGTAATAAAATCTAGTTTTTCCTTTTGTAAAGAAAAAAAATTTAACTTGGCATTAACTAGCTCCATCAGATTATACGTCATATTCCAATCTTAACTCTGGCCATGGATAAGTAAAATGACAAGTTGGACTAATGGGATCCATGAACCATCAATTGTCACCACGGCTCTACTGCAGACAACTCTTATCATGATGCCGTCATTTAATTAGTAGGAAGAAATTGCCTAGAGCAACAGGTCTAACTGGCTTAATGCTTGCGCTAAGTGCCTAGAATAGTTGCATCTACCAACCCTCTTTTGTTGTGTAATCAACACATAATGTGCTACTGAAACTGTAGAAAATCCAATATCAGAAGAACAAAATAAATAAGGATTAAAGTCATAATTCAATTACTAAAATGAACCCCTTGATTGAAAAATTTACCATTGAAGGTTCACAATTATGATAATAGATACTTTTCTGGATAAGGTTGTATATATTTCTGTAATTCTTCAAGTATTTCATATCAGATCTACAGAAACCTAAATGTCTTTTCCATTTAATCTCTCATCAAAATTCACAGATTGTATTAGTGAATTGGTGCATCTCATCCTCAGGCCTAGATGGCTAATAAAGAAGCATATAGATTGAAATTTGGGTCATGTTATGATTTGAGTAGGGTTAAAAAGAGAATTAATCAGTTAGTATTTCAAATATGACTGATACTAAAGTTGGAAACAAAAACAATCAGACTATTTCTAAAATGACTTCAGCGGTCCTATTTGTTTTCCAGGTCAATGAATCTTAGGACTCAAGTTAAGAAACTCAGTTCAGCAGTTCACCTGTCACTTTTCGATAAGAGAATGATAATGATACTTATTATACCAAGTTAAGATCAAGTAAATCCATAACAGAATAGTTGTTAGGTTTTCAAAGTCTTACTGTCTAAGAGTTCTAACTGGAGCTATCTGACTGCAGATGGAAGAGATCTGTAAGGGACTTTGACAATGGCAAAAGGTTTTGGTACTCGATTGTTCTGTTTAATCTCTTTCCTACTCTCTGTCATATCTCTTGATCTGTTTTCTATGGATGTTACTTGAACTTAGGATATATATTTGCAGCTATTATCCCTATAATTCCAATTCAGACTAAAAATTAATGGATTTGATCTGGACCTTTGCTGTCTGTTTCACTAAGACACCAATACACACCAACAAGCTAACAGAGATCAAAGAGATGGCTGACTTATTAATCTGAGTGAACCAAGTCAAATAGCATCCTTCCCATTTGCAGTTCATGAAATTCCTACTTTTGAATAAGAGGAATTGTGGGCATGAATTTGCTCTTTGGAATTGACGGAATCAATAATATCTTACATGTCTTTCAGCTGGATTAGCAAGAACTCCTTGTAATATATAAATCTGAAGAGAATTTGACAGTGCAAGTCCAATAGCTTACTCGCGTTGATGCCAGAAGGCAGCACGAGGATATATTCTCAAATATCGTGAAATCCAAGAGGGTAATCATAAAAAAAATCCTATATGCGAACATCATATCACTTCTTCTGTCTGTCCACGTACTTTCCTTCACAGGTTCAATTTCTACTTGTTTTGACTTATGGACAAGTAATCAGAGATCATAATACATAAGTGGTTGTAAACTGATCTTATCTAGCAAAAGCATACTAAAGAACTCTCTGCGAGATATAATCTCACACATAAACATAAAACTCCAGCTCATGTGAGTAATTCCAACACATAAAATTTGGATTCTAATCGGTTGGAGTTTGATAAATTGAAGAGAGCGTGCGCATATCGACTTCTAATCAATTTGAATTTAATACTCAGATAATCAAAATCAATGACGGCCAAGTTAATGCTAATTAGGGTAAGTCTTAGTCCATCAAAAAGATATCACCTTTATGTGGATTCAGCAAAAATACTAGACAAAACAAAGAATCTAGCCTGCAAAACCCAAAATCGATAGCGAAATCCAATCAAGAACAAAGTAAGATATGAAAAGAAGCCAGATCGGGAGAATAAAAAAGCAGAGGCGAGTCACCTGCATGCACGTCTCGTCCCAGTCGTGGCCGAAGCGGATGACGACGAGGCGCTCTTCCTCAGCCAGGATCGCCTGATCCACGGCCCACCCAGAATGGAGGTGCGGCAGGAGGTACGACATACTTGCGTCTCCCGCTACCACCACCGCCCGCGCCTCTTCCTTTCCCTCTTCTCTCTCTCTCTCTCTCTCTCTTCGGTGTACCAGTGGGAGAATATATTCCGCGAGATGACTGATTCAAGTCCCCTACCTCACGCGTTCCCCTCGTCACCTACCTATCCTGTCACTGGAGGAAAAAGATGATCCCACATGAGGGACCCAGCGGTAACCACCAAAATCCTCGAATCACGGCAAGCCCAAAGACGCTGCTTTCTCGAGTGGACAATGCACCCCAAAAGTGTACGATATTTAAAAGACCAATATGAAGCTTGAGCTGAGAAATAAAACAATCGAAAGCAGGATTTTAATTCAATCAAAAACTCTTCATTTCCATTTCCTGCTGCTGCAGAACAAAGCAACCAAAGAATTCTCATACATAATCCCACAACTTGCACATTTTGTTCACTTGGAATTTCATCAAACACCTGGTTCTGAAACGTGAAACATAAGCTAACACCATCAACTGCCAGAATGGAGAGGCAAATGCTGGTTATACAAGAAGTGATGGATGAGCCGCTGCGCTTATCTGGGAGCGAAAAGGGGAGCTTGGTGGCTGGCGCCGCCGACGGTGACAAAGGTCAGTCCGTCGTAGATGATCGTCCACCCACCAACCCGCATGATTCACATGAAAGCTCAACAATAGCTAGAAAGTGGAGATGACGAGAGCACATTTGGGATTCAGTGAAGCAATTCTTACCTGTTTATGAACGTACCGTGGATTCCACTCTTGAATGGTTTTCGATCTGAATCTGTTCAATGCGTACCTTGCGGAGCTGACTATAGCTCTTCCATCAGTCTCTCCACTGAGAGCACAAAGGAGAGCTGTAGGAACAATGAATACCTTGTGGAGACTATTTTACTGAGAGATCCAAGCTCAGTGCTTCACATAAAGATCCATGGTCCGATGCCGCCACTGATGATCTTGCGGATGATCGAAAGCACATAATCTGGAGCATCGTTCCATGTGGGGATCACATCATTCAACGATATTGGTGAGAAACTAGCGGTGTGTTAGAAAATAAATAGATAAACAAGTTATAGAAGAAGTTGATTGTAATTAACATATCCTCCTTCCTTTTATACAGGTTACAAGGGAGAATTTTCCTCAACAGGTTAGAGGATTTCCCTCAACAGAGTAGAGAGATTTCCTCAAACAGTTAGGGAAATCTCATCTACTTATCATGCCTCCGCAAGATGGTGCTCCGATCAAGGAGGCCAATCTTGGACTGATGTAATACAAAAAGTGTACGAGCTAGAGGCTTCGTAAATGAGTCGGCCAATTGATCAGCCGTATGAACATGAGAAACACGAAGTTGACGGCGGACAACTTAATCGCGTACAAAGTAGAAATCGATAGCAATATGTTTCATGCGGGAGTGGAATACCGGATTAGCGCACAGATAGGTAGCTCTAATGTTATCACAATATATTGTAGGGGTGGAATCGATGTTGAGTTCCTGGAGTAGATTCGTGATCCAATTGAGTTCTGCAGTGGTAGCGGCAATGACACGGTATTCAGCTTCAGTTGTAGACTGAGTGACTGTCTTTTGCTTCTTAGAACTCCAGCTGATTGGATGAGCACCAAGGAAGATAATATACCCTGATGTGGATGTTCTATCATCAAGGTTACCTGCCCAATCAGCATCGGCAAAGGCATGAAGACAAAGTGGAGAGTGTTTACGAAAAAAGAGTCCATGATTTAGGGTCCCTTTAAGATATCGTAGAAGTCTCTTGACCGCAGACCAGTGTAGAGTAGATGGTTGATGCATAAACTGTGATAATTTGTTGACAGCAAATGAGATGTCTGGACGCGTGAGAGCTAAGTATTGTAAAGAGCCAACAACTTGGCGGTATTGAGTGGGTTCTGTAGCAGGACTTCCATCCGATAATTTGAGAGAACCACTAGTAGAGATGAGGGTTGTAACTGCATTTGCATCCTGCATGTTTGTCTTTAATAACAAATCTTGAATGTACTTGCGTTGTGATAAAAGGAGACCGGAAGATGTGAAGGTAGCTTCGACGCCCAGAAAGTAGCTCAAGGGTCCGAGATCCTTAAGCGAGAATCGAGCTGCTAGCTGTTTGATGAACGCTTGGATGCTAATGGGATTATTGCCTGTGACAATAATATCATCCACATATACCAGAATATACATTATGTTTCCATGATAATATCGCAGAAACAACGAAGTGTCAGATTTGGAGTTAAGAAAGCCGACAAAAGTAAAAAATGAGCTAAGTTCAGTGTACCAAGCTCTTGGAGCCTGACGAAGTCCATAAATGGCTTTCCGAAGTTTGCAAACATGCTGTGGATACTGAGGATGAGTAAAACCGGGGGGTTGTTGCATAAAAACATCTTCGGATAGAGATCCCTGTAGAAAGGCATTATTAACATCCAATTGTCGTAATTGCCAGCCTTTAGTGGTAGCCAGACTCAAGTTGAGCCGGATTGTAGTGGGTTTAACAACAGGACTAAACGTCTCAGTGAAATCAACCCCAGGTCGTTGATGAAACCCTTTGGCGACCAGGCGTGCCTTATATCGGGCAACAGAGCCATCTGGGTTCCGCTTAATTCTAAAGACCCACTTACACCCGATGATGTTTTGTAAAGGATGGAAAGGAATGAGATCCCACGTTGAATTATGGAGGAGGGCATTATATTCCTCACTCATGGCAGTACGCCAATGTGGAGATTTTTGGGCTTGAGTGAAGGTGGTGGGTTCAACGTTGGGGGATGAGGAATTCATGATAGCTTGTAGGTTAAGTACCTGACGAGGTTTAAAAATACCATGCTTAGAGCGAGTGGTCATAGGATGATTAGAGACGACAGGATTGGGAGGTGATGTTGGGTGAGGATCTGTGGCATAAGTCGGGTCAAGTGGAGACACGTCAGGGGCACTTGGGCAAGAAGGAGGTAAAGAGGATGGTTGTGTTTCGGAACATATTG